AGCTTTTTCCGTCTTGGGCTGGCAGCTACAAGAGATTCAAGATACTTTTTTGATGGATATACTAAGTCCCTGAGTTTCAGTCTTAGAAATGAATTTAGAATGAAGAATTTAGAGATGAAGCATGTAATTCTTTGTTTCTCCCCCTTTTTCTGGCTCTTCAAGCCTCTAACTGTTTCTGTGAGCCCTTTGATATCCTTTCAGTAAATTTCTTTTTTTCTTTTCCAGCCAGCATTGGTCTTCTGTGCTTACAAACAAGGACCTAGACAGACTGTTAAAGATGTTGATATTAGGAGACGAATGTAGGAAACAGAACCTCAGGGACCTGTGAGAACAGTAAATGAGTTAGATGGGTTGGAACGAACTCAGGTTCCATTAATTTTCAGAATACAAAATAATTTTTAAAATGACTAATTATTACCTGTCATCACCAGAATAAAGTTGTTTTTAAGGTAAACAACATTGTTATAAGTATTCATCTTGTACTCACAGTGTTGAATCCCTGTGTCCTTCAAATTTCAAAGGTTCTGATAATAGGTCCCCCATATCTTCAGTTGGAACTTCATTCTAGTGAACACAGGTAATAATTTTGTCATTTTTGAAAATTAATGGGACCTGAGTCTTTAATTGTCTGGGTTGCTGGTTACAAGCAAGAAAAACCACCTCTGGTTGGGAAAGGAATTTATTGAGAGGATGTTGAAGAACTCACTGAGCACAAGACTTGAATGACCTGAAAAGGGATGTGAACAAGGCAACTCTGGAAAGCCAAGAATAAGAAGCCCAGCCATCACCTTTTATCAGGATTAGTTTGGTTATAATGCCAGTTATTCTCTTACCACCACTCTTGCAGGACACCGTTTTCACTGGATGCTGCTGCCACCGCTGCTATCACGAGAAACCATGCTAGCTGTCGTGAGTGAATCCTAAGCAGCCTTTTGCCTGTGTGTTTCTGTCTTCACATTCAAAGTCTTGAGTTGAGGCAGAGTTTAAGTCACATACAATGTACTGGATTTCGGTTGTCACAGAGTGAGAGGGGTCTTGTATAAAGAGAGGCCAGGCATTGTGTAGTAGGAATCTGGTCACTTCTATGGTGGGAATTGTAGTCTTTTGTCCTGCTTATAGGCAGCGTGCAATTCTTCCCTTCCAATTTGTATGGGTCTTCTTTTTCTTGCTTTATGGCATTCATTAGTACCTCCAGTACAATGTTAAATAGTATTGGTGAAAATGAGCACCCTTGTCTTCTTTCTGCTCCAAGGGAAAGCATTTTGCTTTTCACCACTAAGTTTTACATTAGTGCTAGGATTCTCATAGAGGCTTTTAACCAAGTTGAAGAAGTTCCTGTTACTCATGCCCTGAATGCTTTTGTCTTAAGTGAATGATGAAATTTTGTCAAATGCTTTTTCTTCATTTACTGAGATGGTTATATGTGTTTGTTTTTTGTTTGTTAATATGATATATTGATTGATGTTTCAGTGTTGGACAAATCTTGCATTATTTGGTCATGATGTATGATCTGTCTTATATATTACTGATTTCTGTTTGTTAATAACCTTGTAAGAATTTTTAAATTTTCTTTTTCAATAACTTTGATATACCTTTGTAAGAATTTTAAGTCTGTTTATGAGAGGTATTGATCTCATTAATCCTTTGGTTTTGATATCAAGGTAATGCTGTCTTCATTAAACTAGTTGGAAACTATTCCATCCACCTCTATATTCTAGAAGAGTTTATGTGGAATTGGCAATAATTCTTTCTTAAATACTTGGTAGAATTCACCAGTGAAGCCATCTGGGTCTGGAGTTTTCTATGTGGGAAGGTTTCAAACTGTGAATTCAGTTTCTTTAATAGTACATTAGATATAATAAATAATAGATATGTTAAATAGGAATATTCAGGTATCAATTTATTTTAATTATCCTACGCAGTTTGCATCTTTCAAGGAATTTGCTCACTTCATCCAAGGTGTTGAATTTATTGTCTTAAAGTCATTCATTATTCCCTTATCTTTTTAATGCTTGTGGGATGTAAAATGGTGTTTCCTCTCTCATTCTTGATATTGGTAATTTGTGTTTTTCTCTCCCTGTTTTTCTTGATCAGTCAGGCTAGAAGTTTATCTTTTTCTCTTTTCAAAAAATTAGCTTTTGAGCCAGGTGTGGTGGCTCACACCTGTAATCCCAGCACTTTGGGAGACCGAGGTGGACAGATGGCTTGAGCTCGGGAGTTTGAGACTAGCCTGGGCGATGTGGCAAAATCCTATCTCTGCAAAAAATACAAAAATTAGATGGGCCTCAGCTACTCAGGAGGCTGAGGTGGGAGTATCACTTGAGCCTGGGAAGTTGAGACTGCAGTGAGCCATGATCATGCCACTGCACTTCTTCCTGGGTGACAGAGTGAGACCCTGTATGAAAAATAGAATTAGTTTTTGGTTTTATTGATTTGTTTTCATTATTCATTCATTTTCTTTTCTTTCTTTCTTTCTTTCTTTTTTTTGAGACAGACTCTCATTCTTTTGCCCAGGCTGGAGTGCAGTGGTGTGATCTTGGCTCACTGCAACCTCTGCCTCCCGGGTTCAAGTGGTTCTCCCAGCCTCCAGAGTAGCTGGGACTACAGGCATGCACCACCATGCTCAGCTAATTTTTGTAATTTTAGTAGAGATGGGGTTTCATCATGTTGACCAGGATGGTCTCAATCTCTTGACCTCGTGATCTGCCCGCCTTGGCCTCCCAAGGTGCTGGAATTACAGGCATAAGCCACCGTGCCCAGCCTATTTGTTCATTTTCTATTCATTGATTCTTGTTTCTTCATTATTTCTTTTCTTCTCCTTACCTAGAATCTAATTTGCTCTTCAGTTTTCTAAGGTAGAAGCTTAGATCACTGATTTGACACTTTTCTTCCTTTCCTATGTGAGCATTTAATGCTATAAATTACCCTCCACACAGTGTTTTAGCTATGTCTCACAAATGTTGACATGTTTTGTTTTCATTCAGTTCAAAATTCCCTTCCTCCCTCCCTCCATTCCTTCCTTTCCTTTCTTTTTTGATATAGCATCCAGCTCCATTGCCCAGCTTGCGGTGCAGTGCTGCCATCTCGGCTCGCTGCAGCCTCCGTTTCCTGGGTTTAAGTGATTCTTATGCCTCAGCCACCTGAGTCTCTGGAATTACAGGTGTGTGCCACCACACCCAGCTACTTTTTTGTACTTTTAGTAGAAACGGGTCTCAAACTCCTAGCCAGGCTAGTCTAAACTCCTAGCCTCAAGTGATCCACCCGCCTTGGCCTCCCAAAGTGATAGGATTACAGGTGTGAGCCGCCATACCTGACCCCAGTTCAAAATATATATATATATTTTTTGAGACAGAGTCTCACTCTTTCACCAGGCTGGAGTGCACTGGCATGATCTCGGCTCACCTCAACCTCCGACTCTCTGGTTCAAGGGATTCTCCTGCCTCGGCTTCCCAAGTAGCTGGAATTACAGGCAGGCATCACCACGCCCAGCTAATTTTTGTATTTTTCATAGAGACAAGGTTTCACCATGTTGGCCAGGATGGTCTCGATCTTCTGACCTTGTGATCTGCCTGCCTCGGCCTCCCAAAGTGCTAGGATTACAGGCGTGAGCTACTGCGCTTGGTCCAAAATATTTTTTAATTCTTTTTTTATTTCTTCTTTAACCTATAGGCTGTTAGATTTCCACATATTTGGGGATTTTCCAGATCGCTTTCTGTTAATTTTTCTCTCATATTTTTGCTGTCTGGCTTTTTGATGTATTTTATGCGAGAGACCACCGATTTGTGGAGAAAGTACTCTTCTGAGCCCACATTATATGGTAGGAGCCCACAGGTCAGTCTGCAGGCTGCCGAGATCATAGGCTGGTGGGCAGGTGCACAGGTAGACTGGGCTGGTCTCTCTTGACTAGAGTGAGAAATGGGGCCAGCCCTGCTGCCATCACTGCTGCATTCCAGTAGCAAGCCTGAAGATTGGAATTTGTTCTGCTTATGAGGCAACCACCTCCCCTATTCCTCTTTACCACTGTGCACATAAGAACTCCAGCAGCCAAGCATCTACACTTACTTAGGAAGCAGAACCTTTTTCATAGAAATCGAATAGCCCCGGAGAATGTCCTGATGCCAGAGCTAAATTTCTGGCAGGAAGAGTTGAGGGCGGACTCTTGGATCACCCTGGTAGATAAGTAGACTTATACAACAGAGGAGGTGGCCATTTTTGATCTCTGCAATACCCTTTACAAAGGCAGCTAAGGCCCATAACACATTTCCTGTTGGCTGCCTGTATTCAACGCACAACTTTAGACTTGTGATGTAGCATGACAATACTTACGAGAATAGAGAGCTGTCAATTTGATAAGGAGTGAGATCTGCCATCTGAAAGGTGGAACCCTGTGCATAATGTGAGCATTGTCCTGTTAAATGCAATTTTATTTTTAATGGGCCAGTGCCCTAAAATGTCAATGGGTGACTGGTTTACAGTTAATTTTAATTTTCTTCTCAGTGGATTTTGTGTTTTCTAACTTCTCTGCAATGAACATGTATTACTTTTGTGTTTAGATAAAATATTTTAAAATTTTAAAGATAAAAACTCATGGAGTTGTGAAATAGGAACATCAGAACTAATCTAGTAAGCATGACTTAAGGTACAGGCACTCTGAAACTAATAAATTTAACAGCACCCTGGGTTGATCATAATATCAATTTTGACTTCTCTGTGAAGAACAGTTGGAGGGGTCCTAAGAAAATCCCTCTGGTTCTGTTTCTCAAGTCAGAATGCCAAATAAAAAAAGGTAAAATTACACTGTAGTTACAGATTTAACAGGACAAGAGCACTACTATCTCTTCTGCTTTCCCCTTATCCCTCATTTGCAGATGATCGTGTTTCTACTGGTGGAAGGGCAGGAGATTTTAAACTTTCCTACTACCTTACTTTTAGTGAGGAGACAGGTGCCTATATTCCATTTGTTCGCTAACCCAGTTGTTCCCTTTCTGTTCTATCCACAGGCAGCTGGCTAAGAGTCTTGGGCAGGCTGGTGAAATTGAGCCTGAAACAGAAGGAATACTAACAGAGTATGGCGTGGATTTCTCTGATTTCTCTTCAGAAGTTCTAGAATGTCTTCCTCAAGGCCTGCCATGGACAATTCCACCAGAGGAGTTCAGTAAGAGAAGAGATTTAAGGTAAGCACCTGAAACCCTTTAAGAACGTATTTCTCCCTTTTTGCCTTAACTTTCCTAGGGGATAGGCTTAGATGTTTTCATCTTTCCATGAACATTCAAGTTCAGTTCAGTTGGGAATAAGTGCTTCTGTACCACAGTTGGCAAATTATGACCCACAGGCTAAATCTAGCCCACTACCTGTTTATATACAACCCATGAGCTAAGAATGGTTTTTACATTTTTGAATGGTTGGAAAAAATTAAAACAAGAATAATATTTTATGAAAATTATATGAAATTCAGATTTCTGCGACCATAAAGTTGCATTGGAACATGACCATACTTACTCATTTTCTATGTTGCTTATGCTGTTTTTTGCACTACAACAGCCCAGTTGATGAGTTGCAACCAAGACCATATGACCTGCAAAGTCAAAACTAGTTACTGTCAGCCTTTTACAGAAAAAGTTTGCTGACCCCTGTTCTAGACCATTCTAACTTCAAAAGCTACAGCGCCCATCTTCTCATTGCTATACGCCATAGGTCTGGTCAAGTAAAGACTGTTATCTAATTAGAAGTGCCTTCCTTTAAATAGGCCTCTTCAGGCATAGAGCAAAGGATGCAAGACTTCTGTACTTGGAGCCTCATTTTAAAGCCTTACTTTTAGGTCTGGAATTTGTTGGAAAGTACTTTTGTGGTATTTTTATAACAACATCTTCTTTGAAGATGTTTCTTCATTGTGGGATGTTAGTTCTTTTCTGATATTTCTCTTCAGAATTTGGTTTCAGTACTGGCATTCATTTTGGATGCCACATGGAGATATTTAGAACCAAGAAACTTTTCATACAACCCACTGAGGCTGTGGAAGGTTTTTGCTAAGGTCATCCCATGTCAAAGTCTTTACCACCACACTTGCTTGCTTCATGCAGCTGAACTTATGACACTTTCAGCTCTGGGTGCCCGTTACCCACCTAGTTTGTGAATACTCCCTCTCTGTACCCTCTTACTATTGTATCTTTTAGTAATTTACTGCCTTTTTCTTTTCTTATTGAGGTTAGGCAAGGAAAAGGAGATGAACATTAGTGCCCTTTCCTACTTGTTAGTATCTCTCATAGAACACATATTACATTTGAAGTCAGTTAACCCATATTACATTCCTGGATTTTAATAGTAACCCCTCTATCACTGAACCCCTGCTAGCACATGGGTGTGTTATCTCTTCAGGGGCTCCGAGGTCTTTGGCCCATAACGTTAACCTCTCGGAACCTTTGTTTTGTCATACACAAATTGAAGGGTTTGTTTTCTGAGGTCATTTCCTGAATCTAGGAATCTATCAAATGATTTAATGGGAAAAGAATGTTAGAATAAATGGTGGAACCTTATTGTTTAGTAGAATTTAGTATAGCCATGCTGCAGTATCTATCAGCATTTTAAATGTACCTCCTCCTGCACCCCAAACTCTACTCAAAAAAGTGTACAAGAATGTTCATTGCTGTCTTGTCATAAAAGTTAAACATTAGAGACACTGCTAATGACCATCAATAAAGGAATGGTTTAGTAACCTGTGTTATGTCAATATGATAGCATTAATTGCAGCTCTGCAAAAAGGAGCTATATCCATGTTGACTTTCCTAAAAGAATGGCTATAATACATTATTAAGTAAAAGAAGCAAGTTTCAGAGCAATATGAATATGAGCCTATATTTTGTAAAGTAATACAAAAACTGCATAAATGTACACATATGCATATATATGTGTATATATATATACACATCAAAGTATATCTGCATAGAACAAGACCTGGAAGGAAATAAACTGTTAACAGTGACTACCATGGAGAGTGGATTCAGTGGAGTGGTAAGGCAATAGGGAAGTGAACTTTGAGTTTTCATTTTGCATACTGCCATACTATTCAAATTATTATTATTATTTTTAAGACAGGGTCTCACTGTATTGCCCAGGCGGGAGTGCAGTGGTGCAATCATAGTTCACTGCAGCCTTGAATTCTTGGGCTCAAGCAATCCTCTGCCTTAGTCTCCCAGAGTGCTGGGATTATAACATGCGCCACCACACCTGCCTAATTCTTTTATGTTACTTTTGTAGAGAAGATGGGGTCTTGCTATGTTGAGCAGGCTGGTTTTGAACTCCTGGCCTCAAGAGGTCTTCCTGCCTTGGCCTCCCAAAGTGTTGGGATTACAGGTGTGAGCCACCATACCTGGTCCAAATTTTTTTTAAAGTAATTTGTATAACTTTAAAAAATTATAATTGTGAAAGTCACAAAATAGAAGTATTCCATTTTTTCTAGCCTTTTAGTGTACAGGTAAATAATACGCATGTTAGTGGTTATAGGGCCCAATATTGCTGTAAATTCCCACTGTCTTCCCACTTCTTTGGCTCTGTCTTCCCACTTCTTTGACCTTTATTGCCTTCTGGTTTAGACCATAGAATAAGAGGTCCTTAGTGAGACCCTGTCTCTACAAAAAATAAATAAATAAATAAAATATTAGCCAGGCACAGTGATGTGTGCCTACTTGGGAGGCTGGGACGGGAGGATTGTTTGAGCCTAGGAGTTTGAGGCTGCAGTGAGCTATAATCATGCCACTACATTCCAGCCTGGGCAACGGAGCAAGACTGTCTAAGGGGGAAAAAAAAAAAAAGAAAAGAAACCTTGCTTTGCAGAAAGCCTCGTTAAAATATATCTTAAGTACACACACACACACACACACACACACACACACACACACCCCACACACATATGTGCCCTGTGAAAGGATCCAAAGACAGAAGGAGTTTATAGGGTGCTCTCTGCTATTAATGAAGTAACAAGGATTTTTTTAAAAAATTACTTTTGGGCAGGGCGTGGTGGCTCACGCCTATAATCCTAGCACTTTGGGAAGCGGAGGTGGGCAAATCATGAGATTGAGACCATCCTGGCTAACATGGTGAAACCTTGTCTTCACTAAAAATACAAAAATTAGCTGGGCATAGTGGTACGGGCCTGTAGTCCCAGCTACTTGGGAGGCTGAGGCAGGAGAATCGCTTGAACCCGGGAGGCGGAGGTTGCAGTGAGCCGAGATCGCTCCACTGCACTCCAGCCTGGCGACAGAGTAAGACTCCATCTCCAAAAAAAAAAAAATTACTTTGGGCATGGTGGCGGGTGCCTGTAATCCCTACCCAGCCTCCCAAGTAGGCACACTTGGGAGGCCAAGGCAGGGGAACTGCTTGAACCCAGGAGGCGGAGGTTGCAGTGAGCTGAGATTGTGCCACTGCCTAAGCGATAGAGCGATACTCAGTTAAAAAAAAAAATTACTTCAACCTTAAAATATGTTATCCTTGCCCATTATCCTCAGGATTATGTTTCTAAAATTCAAATCTGATTTATTTTACTCCTTTGCATTTAAAATTTTTCTAATGTTTCTTAATGCCTAAAGTAGTAATCTCTGAAGTTTAGAAATTATTGCTTTAGGCATCAAGAAGTAATATAGTAAATTACCACTAATGCTTGTCTTTATTTTAAAATGATAAATGAATTTACTACATTGCTAGTCTATTATGTACATTATAAACATAAGTAAAAATAGAAAAAAAATGTGAGAAATAAATTTTTAAATACTTTCATTTTACTTACAAAAAGTATAGAAAACTGTATATAGTAATTTTACTTTTGGTGAAAGCAGTATGATTGAATAATATTCTTTATTTATTAAAATTTTACTTTAACAACTAGTAATATGGAAATTCAGAGGTCTGATTCTAAGTTCTGTATATTTTGGTACTTGGTTTTAATGATTATCATAATTGGAAAGGATATATGTTTAGAAGATGTGAGTTGTGCTTACAAAATCATAATACTCATTTCTCAGTCCTATTCACCAATTATATTCCAATTCATTTTGAAATTCGGCTAGTAAATTTCCATCTTTTCTGATGTCAGTTCTTGTTAATTCATTGAGAGATGCTGCATTTTTAGATTAAAAAATATATTTATAATCTCCAGTTACTCATTAGTTGTTATCTTTAAAAACTAGTTAGAAAATTCGGCCAGGCACATTGGCTTACACCTGTAATCCCAGCACTTTGGGAGGCCAAGGTGGATGCATCACCCGAGGTCAGGAGTTCGAGACCAGCCTGGCCAACATGGTGAAATGCTATCTCACTAAAAACACAAAAATTAGCTGGGCATGGTGGCAGGCGCCTGTAATCCCAGCTTCTCGGGAGGCTGAGGCAGGAGAATTACTTGAACCCGGGAGGCAGAGGTTACAGTGAGCCGAGATTGTGCCACTGAACTCCAGCCTGGGTGACAGAGTGAGACTCCATCTCAAAAAAATAAATAAATACATGATTCTATTAGGAAGTTTAAGTCTATGGATATGAATATTTTTGTAGTTTATACACTTACATCATTTTAGGCCCCAAATAATATAGCAATGGAAGTATTTCAAAACATCCATTTAAAAAAAATGTTATCTTTAAAATTTGAATATGTTATTTTGTTTTCAAAATGCAGTAATTTGTTTTCTTATTGTTAAAATGTCACCTTTACCTTGAAGGGACAGATTAAGCATGTTTAATTTTCCTAAAGTATCTGATATGTTACATATGACTGACAGCCATTGTTTTGAAATCATAATGTGGCTGGAGTTGAATTCATATTAGACACAGAAGAAATGTCAGTGTTGCCATTTTTCTAGTATTAATGATATTGCTAGGAATATTAGTGGTTTAGTATTATCTTCAATATATGGACCTTTGCAGTAATCTTTTTTAGCCAGTTACCTTTTTTGCAAGGATTAGTTTAGCTAAAACTAGACAATATCCATAAATCCATGTATCTGGGCATGAGTAAAGACCCATTAGTTGCAGCTGGCAAAAGCATAGGAACTAAGAGTGCTGCTGTCATTGCCTTTGTGTTCTGGAATGCCAACTCTTTCATCTGTACACCTCACCTACCACCTGACCCACACATCTAGTGAGGGTGCCAGGGTTAATTCATGTAGTTATGTAGTGTCAGTTAATTCCTTAT